CCCCGGCATCTCCAGTTCAAAGGACCAGGCAGGAGGTGATGGGAAAGACCTCCACCTGAGACCTTGGAGAGCTGTACAGAGGGGCCGTGGCTCAGTGGTAGAGCCTCTGCTTGGCATGCAGAAGGTCCCAGGTTCAGTCCCCGGCATCTCCAGTTAGAAGGACCAGGCAGGAGGGGATGGGAAAGACCTTGACCTGAGACCCTGGCTCAGTGGCAGAGCCTCTGCTTGGCATGCAGAAGGTCCCAGGTTCAGTCCCCGGCATCTCCAGTTAGAAGGACCAGGCAGGGGGTGAAAGACCTCAGCCCGAGACCCTGGGGAGCTGCTGCCAGTCCAAGTAGACAATACTGACCTCGACAGACCAATGATAAGGCAACCTCATGTGTTCATGTATTGGAAGGAGGGGCTGTGGCTCAGTGGCAGAGCATCTGCTTGGCATGCAGAAGGTTCCAGGTCCGATCCCCAACATCTCCAGCTAAGTATGAGGTTGTAGTTGATGTGGAAAGACCTCCCCCTGAAACATCAGAGCTGCTACCCGTTTGAGGCATGACTTTGATGGACCAGCTTCATTGGTGAAATGGGTTGGGCTTTTTTTTTTTTGTTGAAGTTTATATGGACATTGCGTTTTGAGTCTTCCATACACATGACCAAATGCCCGTACTGCTCAGTGGGTACTGGTCCGAAGGGAAGCCTGAATTTTCTGCTCATCCATCCCCTGTGGAGAAGTTGGGTAGATTCGTAGACATCGTTACATTATCACAATTCCGCTTGAGGCCGTCTGCGGGAATGGTCAAACTGGTACTCCAAAGACGATCAGAGCGCTGATAATTTCATAGGCTGCGGTCCCCACGTGTCACATGCAGTCAACGTTCACGGGACACATTAACTGGTCGTTACGAGTTCAGAGCGTCGACGGGCGGTTCTGACGGAGCCCTCGCTGAGCAAGGATGTCCGCTCTTTTCATGGAACACAAGGTACGTTCAGAACAGATAACGTATTGCTTCTTGGCTATTCCTCCTAGCTCCTTGCATTCAGATTCCCAGCCGCTGAGCCCCAGAAGAACGAGCCGTATCCCGTGGTGACCCGAGTGAAGCGTATTTCGTTCCCTAAAAGAATTCTGCTCCGAACAGCTGGGAATTGGAATGTGTGCTTCAACGTCGCTCCCCGTCGTGGTTCTTGGTGGCCAAAGACAGCTCTCTTAAAGACGGCCTTCTCGGGGAGGTTAGAGAATGTCTTTGCGGTCCAAAGATTCTTGCCGGTGTGCAGAGACACAACGGTGGATCAGAGAAATTGGCCTGAATTTTTAGACCATGTAGGTCCACGCGCCAGGTACTTGACTCTGTAGCTGTACAAATCTGGGACCTTGGCAGTTGTCTCTGCTAACGGTAAGAATACCAGGGCACAGTCACCAAAAGTGTAAAGGAGCGCTCAAACTTTCTCCAGGTAGGAGCCCGGCACGAACCCTTGCCGCCCGTTCTGTTCCGCCGTCCACCAGCCGTCGTCGCCCATTTCAGTGATGAGGACTACGTCATCTGCTCGGATATCCAGTTCGTCTTCGTTCTGGAACGAGAACAGTGGAGAGGGAATGGAAATGGAAATACATTAGCCTGGATAGAGGTGTTACACCTGTCCTCTTTTTTATTATTCCAGTGGTTCTCAGTGTTCCCTCTAAGCTGCGCTAGGGGGCGCTGGTGCACAGAATTTTAGCTGCCCGCTCAGGCATGCTAGCTTCCAGCTCACAAGCCTTCTCCACTCCATTGAAAACACCATTGGAAAACTGTTCTCCGGAGGCCAGGTCTACCCATACAGAGGAAAGGGGAAGGTAGACCTGTTCTCCGGAGGCCTGGTCTACCCCTGTAGAAGACAACATTTCCTGTAATGAAATCGGACTTGATTCTGTTTTCTAATGCTTAAATTATTCCTAAAATATAGTTTAGATAACGGTTTAAAAGAATTCATTTTTTACAAGGTTATGGAAATAATCTAAAAAAAAACCCGAATTGAGGCGGTCGTCAAACGTAGACTCGCTCACAACTTTAATGCTACTAGCTGTTTTCGCTCACAAGGTGAAATGTTCGCTCCCAACCCTGTGGAGCGTAGAGGGACTCTCAAGCCATTAGATCAGGAGTCCCCGGCGTGGTGCCCACGGGCCCCATGGTGGCACCTGCCAAAAGCTTTCCCGGCGCCCACCAAGTATTTTTAGAAAGTGGGTGGGCCTCCTAAGCAGGGCTTCTAATCAGCTGTGCAGACGGAAAGAACAGTGCCTCAGTTGCAGCTGCCACCACAGTATTGGCTTTATTCTCTCTCTCTCCCCCCCTCCCACTTTCCCAGGATATTTGTTTACATCGCCCTCTTCCCCCCCCCCCCCCCCCGCCTGACTCACGGTGCGTGTCTCTGCGGGCTGCGGGCTCCATGGGTCCTGTCCCTGCAAATCACACTGGGGCTATACAGATTCCTGGGAGTCCACACGGCAGGTTGTGGCTGGAGATCTCCTGGGTTTACAAGTGATCTCCAGGTGACAGAGATCAGTTCACCTGGAGAAAACGGCCAATTTGGAAGGTGGGCTCTATGGCAGCACCCATGCTGTGCTTGGCTCCGCCTCCTGCAGCAGCCATTTATAAACCTCCATCATGTCCTCCCTCTCCTTAGTCGTCTCTGTTCTAAACTGAGTGGCTTTGCTTAATGTCTTGAGCACAAACACCATTTATAAACCTTTATAAACCTTAGAAATCCTGCTTTCCTCCCGGAGTTTAAACCGCCTTGCACTACCTTTGGATAAACAACTCTGACTTATTTATTTATTTATATTTATCTACTGGGTTTCTAGTCCGCCCTCCCCGCGAGCGGGCTCAGGGCGGCTTACATTTAAAGGCACTATGTGGCAGAGTACATGAAACCAGATAAAACAGGATAAAACCACCATATCATTACAATTAAAGTGCTCAGCATAGAAATGATCTTCCAATCACATTCAAGATGGCATCCTGTAGATGGACACAAGTCCCAGTTCAGCCGCATCTGTCTCGTACGTTACTGTGGCTCGATCTCCGTATGGGCCAACTCACTACCCCGGTGTTACTAACAATAATAGTTGGTGGTAGTGGTGGGCGGCTCCTAACTAAAAGCCTGGCGGAAGAGCTCCGTCTTGCAGGCCCTGCGGAACTGTATAAGGTGCAGCAAGCCGCCGAAATGACCGTTTGGGAGGTTTCTCTGTTACCTGGCCTGTGTAATCGTAAAGGACTCTATACTCCTGGGGCAGAGCGACTGCGTCTTCCTGGCCCACGGGGATCGCTGCGTAGATGCCGTCCACTTTGTCTGCAGGAACAAAGAAAGGTCAACTGGGGATGCAAAAGTATCATGCACAGTTGCTCAGAAACACCACTTATCTGATCCGGGAAAGACGGGCACAGCTGCTGGGGACATTTGGCAGGGCTCAACAGCCTCCACGCCTTCTGTATGTAACTTATGGATTTCATTTATTGACGTTACATAACGTTACATACATTCTCATGGGGACTCAACGCATTGTGAGTCAGTACAATTGGCAAAACGGGTCATTCAGTGACCAGTGCATGAGGCTTTTCAAAGTCTAGAACCATCAAACACACACAAAAAACCCCCAACAACAACCCTGAAGTATAGCATAAATGTTATGGAGGATAAGTCGGTCAATGGCTACTAGCCACGGTGACTGAGTGGAACCTCCGCATTCAGAGGCACTAAGCCTCTGAATCCCAGAGCCAGGAGGGAATATGACGGGAAGGCCTCGGCCTCTGCGTCCTGTTTGTTTGGCCCTCCAGAGGAACTGCTTGGCCACTGTGTGAGGCGGGATGCTGGGCTAGATGGACCCCTCTTCTGATGTTCTTATGAAGGCCTCGGCCTCTCTGCCCTGTTGTTGGCCCTCCAGAGGAACTGGTTGGCCACTGTGTGAGGCGGGATGCTGGGCTAGATGGACCCTAACTGGTCTGATCCAGCAGGGCTCTTCTGGTGTCCTTTTGAAGGCCTCGGCCTCTCTGCCCTTTTGTTGGCCCTCCAGAGGAACTGGTTGGCTGCTGTCTGAGACAGGTTGCTGGACTAGGTGGGCCCTCACTGGTCTGAACTAGATGGATCACTGGTCCCATCCAGCAGGGCTGTTCTTATGTTCTTATTCACGTGACACATTAAGTGGTACAAAAACTACATAATAAGCAGGGGTCATTTCCTGCGGGAGGCTACAGGAGCGGAGCTCCGGCAGTAAGGAGCCCAGAGGGTGGGCACATGCAACAAGCCCCGCCCCCTGTTCCCAGCAGCCCTCAGTCGGGCCACGAGGAGCAAGAAGAAGCTAGGTAAGTTGCAGAGCCCCCCCTGTCTTCGGACAGCGCTGGTTCTTCGGCTTGGAAACGGAGATGAGCACTGCCCCTTAGAGTCGGATTTGACTGGCTTCCGAGCAAGGGAAACCTTTACCTTTTAGCTGAACGGAACAATATCCAAATCGGAGAACTAAGGTCCATTCTGCACCTGTTTTTTTTCTCCATGGCTTCTATGCACCCGGTCCCGTTCAGCTTCGCTCTGGAACATCCGTCTGAACTCTGTGTTTAATAGCTACTTGCGCAAAACTCCGCCGTTTGTCGCATTTAATCTGGCATCTGCCCCAGTGGCGTTCAGAAATGCACGCCTGGTTATGAAAAATGTACCTGCGGGGGGAGCTGTAGGAATAACGTTGTCCGTGGCATTACGGCTGTTTCCGTGGAGCAAGCCGGAAAATCTGTAAATCAGCGGGAAAGGATCGAGAAGTCAGCGGGGGGGGTGAGTCAGCACTCTCCAATGTTCCCTCTAAGCTATGGAGTCTTGTGAGCAAAAATTCTACTTTGTGAGCTACTGGCATTAAAGTTGTGAGCGAGCGATTGGACTGCTGTATAAATTAGTTTTCTCTGGAGCCCCATCCTTCCTGAGCTGAGACAAAAATGTGTGAGCCGGAGGCTACAAAACTGTGAGCTGGCTCACACTAACTCAGCTTAGAGGGAACACTGCGTCTCCTCCTAATCCCGAACTCTTGGGTTTTCCCCACCCCTCCTTAAGTTCCCGGATCTTCCTTCCCTCACCTCTTCATCATTCCGCAGGTCGGGACCGGGCTGCTGCAGTTTCTGGTTGGGGTTACTCTGTCGTAATAGTTCTCATATCCGATCGCGACTGCAGGGTTGAAGCGGAAAAAGAAGATCTCAGGGAAGCGTTGGCACCACTGATGGGCAGTGAAGCGGATAAACTAAGCGAAGAAATGGATCTGGTATACAGATCCTATTCTAACTTTACAAAGAAAAATAATCTGCCAGCTGAAGTGGTTGTCAAATTTACCAAACAACATGTAAGAGATCAGATCCTCAAAGCGACCTCAGCAACACCCTTGAAAATTGGAGAGCAAACTATAAGAATTTTAAAAGATGTACCATTTGAAATTCGACAGAAGCGGAAGGCATATAGAGGACTGACCACATTCTTGCAAAACCATCAAATTAACTACAGGTGGTTGTTTCCAGAAGGACTGATCTTTAAGTTTAAAGACAAGAGAGAGAAGATTGACTCCATTTTCAAAGCACAAGAGTTTTTGAAGAGACACGCCAGCTCAGAGGAGGAAGCAGAACTCGCTAAGTGGAAAATATTCACCAGCGACGAGGACAGCAATCCGGAAGGAGGAGACGAAGAACCGGAGGAGAAAGGAGCGGCAGGAGGTATCACGTATAATTTAAGAGAGAAGAAAGGCAGACGCCCCAATGTCTGATGAACTCTTGAGAGTGCTGCAAGGACAATATTAATACTAACCCAAAAGGACTTTACTAACCTAACTAATTTTTATCTTTGACAGGTAATGAAGCAAGAAGATCGACCGCTCATGGTGGAAGCTATGGACTGTACTAATACTGATAAAAGATTAATATACTAATTTACTCATCACTCACCCTTTTCTTAATCCCTCTATATACCCTCCCTTTTTTTCTGTAAAATTTAAAGCAATAAAATTCTCTCCTTTTTAGGAGAGTTTAATTAAAAAAAAAAAAAAGTTAGAATAGTTTTTACTGCTAAGAAATAGGCTTTTGATGCGACTTGATACTTATCTCTTCTAGTTGCTTGGTTAATGCTTTAGATATCCATTATTGTAAATGATTACTATTTAAAAACGAATAAGGAAAAAACTTTTAGAAAACTTAAACCTCACATTTTAAAATGCAATGGCTGGATTCTCTGCTTTGTCCTACTGTCACCCTATTCTGCGTGGGGAGAGCAGGATATAAATCGGAGAAATAAATTTTCAAATGGGTCTGGCACGGGAGGTACTTCTGGCCGGCTGTATGATGCCTTTCTATCACTGTCAACAGTGAAGGTCTTCTACGGCTGTGGTCCACAACAGGGTTTTTTTGGTGTGTTAATAGGATGTCCCTGGAATGCAGGACAGGGTGCAGAAGAGAGTGATGAGGATGATCAGGGTTCTGGAGACTGAGCCCTACGAGGAAAGGCTCAGGGCCCTGGGAATGTTTAGTCTGGAGAAGAGGAGATAGACTATGTCTATGTGTATAGGAGTGATGGTGTACAACGTTTGGATGTAGGGAATGACATTTTCCTAGAAGACTTGTGGCAACAGCTGCGGGGAGCCTTGGGCCTCCCAGTGGGCACAAGGGCCTAAGCAGAGGCTTGGCCTTTGCAATGGCAGGATTGTTTTGGGTAAAAAAAAATGTGGCATGGTGAGCAGCACCTTCTGAAAACCCACTTTTGGGACTAGGGGTCTGGTTAACACTGGCAGCTTTCAAGAAGAGGCTGGATGAATATTTGTCAGAGATGCTCTAGGCTGGTCCTGCATTGGGCAGGGGGTTGGACTAGAGGGTCTTCCCCCCTTCCAACTCTGTGATTCTATGATAGGAAGCTATCCGGACTGGCAGGCAAAGAACATCGGTCCAGTTCCATCAAAAGGATAAGGCATTTAATCTGGCACAGGCACAAATGGGTCTCAGTTCGTTTCCAGGCACAATTCAAGGTGCTGGTCTTGACCATCAGAGCCCTCTATGGTTTGGGACAAAGAGGCCCACCAACTCTCTTATGGGCCTGCACAACTAATATGGTCATCTTTGGAGTGCCTTGCTTCGAGGGCCTCCACTTTCTGAGATTAGGTGCCTGCAGGCTCAAAAAATTGGGCACTGGTGTCAGAAGAAGAGGAGGAAGAGGAAGAAGAAGAAGAGAAAGAAGAGGAACAGGAGGAAGAAGAAGAAGAAGAGGAGGAGGAGAAGGAAGAAATTGGATTTATTCACCACACTTCACTCAGACTCTCAGAGCGGCTTACAATCTCCCTTCCCTTCCTCTCCCCACGACAGACACACCCTGTGAGGTCGATGGGGCTGAGAGAGCTCTTTCAAGGACTGCTCCTGAGAGAACAGCTCTGAAAGAACTTGTGACTGACCCAAAGTCACACCAGCAGCTGCATGTTGAGGAGTGGGGAATCAAACCCCGTTCTCCCAGATTAGAGTCTGCTGCTCTCAACCCCTACACCAAACTGGCTCTTAAAGAGTTGAAAGCAGAGTTCCAAAGCAGAGTTAACACCCACTGAAGTCACAGACTGCTTAGGATGGCACTGAATCAGTTTAGCACTTCGGCCCTGATTCTTTTGTTGTTGTTGTTCTTGACCATTCTATACAGCGTCCCACATTTCAAAGGGGGGGGGTTGTCTGCCCACACGCCTGACCCCCATTCTGGAGTTCAGAGTTGAAAACCAGGAAGGCGAAGGCCAAGAACCCTTGTGTTTGGTTACCCGGCGGCTCCGTCCCCGTCGTCTTGCTCTGAATGAAGCCATTCATATCGGTGTCCACGTCACAATTCTCCAGGCTCAGTCGGACCTCTTCATAAATCTGTGCGAAAGCAGGAGAAAAGCGTCAATTGTGCAGAGTTTAAAAACCGAACGTTGGATTTTGTTTTGGAAGAAGAAGAGTTGGATTTCTACCCCGCCCTTCACTTGGAGCCTCAGAGCGGCTTACAATCTCCTTTCCCTTCCTCTCCCCGCAACAGACACCCCATGAGGTAGGTAGCTGAGAGAGCTCATTCGAGGACTGCCCTTGAGAGAACTTGTGACTGACCTAAGGTCTCCCAGCTGGCTGCATGTGGAGGAGTGGGGAATCAAACCCGGTTCTCCCAGATTAGAGTCTGCCGCTCTTAACCACTACACCAAACTTGTCTTATGGTTGATGGTTTTCTTCTAAGAACTTTTTCGGAACAAGTCTTCTTTTTAAAAAACCAACAGCCACTTAACTTTAAGTTAGCGAGATTCAAGTCCAGCATCCCCTTAGAAACCAAAAAGACTTTCAGCACATGAGCTTCAAAGAGTTAACGATCCCTTCGTCAGATACAAGTTGGACTGGAGATCCTCAAGTCCTGATATCCCAGTGTGAAGGTAGGAGGGTTGTTGCAATTTGCAAACAAGGGACTTGCGAAACAGAGGTACAATGCACATTATAATCAGCTTGATGAGAGCGGAGGGGAAATGCTTGGGGGCAGAAAATGAGCATCTGTAATAGGGAGATAGGAAACCTACATCCCTATTCAGCCCTGGGGGCTCCCTTGTTTTGAACTTATGAATTAGGTGATAATAGAGACCACCTCTGCTTGACAGTCACTGCCAATTAAATACGACAATACTGGATGGGCCAGTGTCATGACCTGATATAATGCAATCACATAGTTATTGAAAACAACAACTTTAGGAGCAGATCCAAATGATCGGGCTCAAGGTGTGGAGTGGGGTTCTCCTTGACACTGGCACAGTCCAATAGAGACTGTCTATTTGGGCTTTAATAGACAAATGGAAATCTCTAAGTCCTTCTATCATAATTAGTTAAATCAGAGCAGAAGGGAAATGCTTGGGGGCAGAACATTAGCATCTGTAGGGAGATAGGGGCCCTGTGTCCCCTGTTCTGAATTTGTGAATGCACTCAAGTTCGGCAATATTAATTTTTCGATTGCGTTCCCAACTCTGTTGTTCTAATGATTTCCCCACCTCTGTGCCTTATTCGCTTGCTGAAGAATTCCATTCGTTTTTTAGCCTAGCAGAATAGCGATTCGGTGCATAGCTTTTTCAAGGTCAAATATTGTCTACGCAGCCTGGGATAAGTCTCCAGGGTCTCAGGCAGAGGTCTTTCACATCACCTACTGCCTGGTCCTTTCAACTGGAGATGCCGGGGATTGAACCTGGGACCTCCTGCATGCCGAGCCGATGCTCGACCGCTGACTTTCTCCCTTTCTCACAGTACAAGAACTCGTAGGCACTCAATGAAATTGCTGAGCGGTCGGGTTAGAACGGATAAAAGGAAGTCCTTCTTCACCCAAAGAGTGATTAACACTTGGAATTCACTGCCACAGGAAGTGGTGGCGGCTACAAGCATGGACGGCTTCAAGAGGGGATTAGATAAGCATATGGAGCAGAGGTCCATCAGTGGCTATTGGTCACAAGGTATAGATGGGGACTCTGGGGCAAGGGATGCTCTGTATTCTGGGTGCTTGGGGGGGGGGTCAACAGTGGGAGGGCTTCTAGTGTCCTGGCCCCACTGGTGGACCTCCTGACGGCACCTGGTGGTTTCGGCCACTGTGTGACAGTGTTGGACTAGATGGGCCATTGGCCTGATCCAACATTGGCTTCTCTTATGTTCTTATGAAACCTTCTAGGCAACATTCCCAAGGGCCTTGTGTTTATTTAAAAAAAGAAAGTGAAGGTTGACATGCTCTCATATCAGACATCTGCCCTGTGCAGAGAACATGTCTGTGTGTGCTTACTTAAAGCACCTATTAGCCACAAGGTATAGATAGGGGCTCTGGGGCAAGTGATGCTCTGTCTTCTTGGTACTTGGGGGGGGGGTCAACAGTGGGAGGGCTTCTAATGTCCTGGCCCCACTGGTGGACCTCCTGATGGCACCTGGTATTTCTGGCCACTGTGTGACACAGAGTGTTGGACAGGATGGGCCTTTGGCCTGATCCAACACTGGCGTCTCTTATGTTCTTATGTTATGTTCTTATGACACAGAGTCCCTCTTTGCTCCACTCACCTCGTCATCCTTCACACACTGCATCGAAAGCTGGTTGCAGTGAACCCACAAGGAATTCCGCAAAATGGTGATCCGGTCGCATTCCTGGAGCTGGAAAGCCTATGTTTGTTTTTTAAAAAGCAGAGTTAGAAATCAGATGTGTTCACAGTCGTAGTTTTCCCTCCGCGGTCCCTCATTCCTCCTCAATGTTCTAATGATTGTTTTTATCTTTTGCATTGACTTTGGGTTTAACTTGCTTTAGTGGTGTATTCACGTGTGTCCTTTTAATGGCCCTCAAAATGATATTTTGATCTGTATGTTCTTAATTTGTTGGTCCAATGGGGGCCGAAAGGCAACATAAATTTTTTTATTAATAATAAATGTGTGGCTGCCAATGTTCCCTCTAACTGTGGAGTCTTGTGAGCAAAAATTCTACGTTGTGAGCTACCGGCATTGAAGTTGTGAGCGAGCAGTTTGGCTACTGCATGAATTAGTTTGCTCTGGATCCACCCTTCCTGAGCTAAGACAAAAATGTGTGAGCCGGAGGCTAAAAAACTGTGAGCTAGCTCACACTAACTCAGCTTAGAGGGAACTCTGTTCACAGTCGTAGTTTTCGCTCTGCGGTCCCTCATTCCTCCTCAATGTTCCAATGATCGTTTTTATCTTTTGTATTGACTTCGGGTTTAACTTGCTTCAGTGGTGTCTTCACGTGTGTCCTTTTAATGGCCCTTAAAACGATATTTTGATCTGTATGTTTTTAATTTGTTGGTCCAACGGGGGCCGAAAGGCGACATAAATTTTTTTTAATTAATAATAAATGTGTGGCTGCCAATGTTCCCTCTAACTGTGGAGTCTTGTGAGCAATAATTCTACGTTGTGAGCCACCGGCATTGAAGTTGTGAGCGAGCAGTTTGGCTACTGCATAAATTAGTTTGCTCTGGATCCACCCTTCCTTTTTCTTTTCTTTTTTAATGTTTTTTTATTATTATTTTCAATTTTTTACAATTCTAACACTTCAAACAGTGAACAATTAATCTTCCAATTACATTCACATCCTGTAAATAGTTCCTGAGTATGTACAACATTATAGCATGTTCAAAGAGGTAATTCTTTGTAATTGTAGTAATTGTTATTGTAAGTTGATAATAGAAGTTTCTTTTTCTTTCTTCTCTTTCTTACCGCTCCAATAGTTTAGATTGCTTCCTAATGTTTCTATTAAGTTTACGCCAAGTCTGTTATCTTTCTACAAGTTGTGAGCGAGCAGTTTGGCTACTGCATGAATTAGTTTGCTCTGGATCCACCCTTCCTGAGCTAAGACAAAAATATGTGAGCCAGAGGCTAAGAAACTGTGAGCTAGCTCACACTAACTCAGCTTAGAGGGAACACTGGTGGCTGCCATAAAAAGGACGAAACCCTTCACTGAGCTCCTTCTCCTTAACACTGAGATGAACTTGTGGAATAATCCTATGTCTCTGTAAATTGTATCGTACTGACATAAGTTTGAGTCCAGGGGTGACTTTAAAACCAACAAAGCTTAATTCTGGGTATAAGCTTCCGTGTGCATGCACATAAAAGATTATACCCAGAGTTAAACTTTGTTGGTCTCAAAGGTGCCACTGGTCCCAAAGTTTGTTCTGTTGCTTCAGATCAATACGGATACACACCTAAATCTACATATATACCTGGGTCTCTCAGATTTGGGTCAGTACTTGGAAGGGAGACCACCAAGGAAGGCTCTGCAGAGGACGGCAATGGCCAACCACCTCTGCTTCTCCCTTGCCTCAAAAGCCCCTTGCTGGGGTCACCGTAAGCCAGCTGCGACCCAGATTTAGTCTCTTGGAACTTAGTCTGGCACTCTAACCACCGCACCACGTTGCCACGGGAAAAGCTTGGGGCAGGAAAAACTGTGGCGTAAGCCCAGGCCTACCAGGCCCTGCGATGTCAACATTCCAAACCACCACGCCAAAGATTCATCAGACCCCGCCGGCAACAGTTAACGGTCGGCCGTGACAAAGAAGCCCACGCGAGCTACGGCCCTGACCCAAACCCCTCACCTCACACGTGCTGATGTGATCTTGCTCCCAGGAAATCCTGGCCGCGTCCAGCAGTTCTATGTTCTGCTTGTACACTCTTACCATAAAGAGACGAGAGGGGAAAGTTCACATATGGAATGAAAGCCTTATCTCGTGGTTAGACACAGGCCCGTAGCTACAGTGGGGCAACTCGGGGCTAGGCCCCCTGACTTGCTGGCAAGGCCGCCTGACTTCCCATCCAACCCAGGGCGTCACGGCCTTCTCCCCTAGGTTAATTTAGTGCCCCCTAAAAAATGTAAACGCCCCCTGACTTAAAGGATCCTGGCTACGGGCCTGGTTAGACATATTGGAAGATGCAAACCAGTGTTCAAATATATATTAAAAGACCTGGAAGGGGTTGTGTTGATTGGCAGGAATGTAGAATAATAGAATCACAGGGTTGGAAGGGGTCCTACAGAGGCCATCTAGTCCACCCCCTGCTCAGTGCAGGATCAGCCTAGAGCATCCCTGACAAGTGCTTGTCCAGCCGCTGCTTCGAGACTACACGGGGATTGTTACTGTGATAAGTGCGCCAAACTAAATAATACAGTACTGCAAAAAATCAGGAAATATATGCTGTTTAAATAAAGTGATATGCTTTTTTTTAACAAGGTTGGAATACAAAAATACAGTCCGTTTCAAATAAACAGAAGTGGTTTTTAACGAAGCAGATGATGTCAAGTTTTAATGAAGCCAATGATGTTAACGACATGCTACAGAATGTCCTGTTTTGTTTCGATGCTCCCTCTTCTGAACAAGATATATATTAAAAGACCTGGAAGGGGTTGTGTTGATTGGCAGGAATGTAGAATAATAGAATCACAGGGTTGGAAGGGGTCCTACAGAGGCCATCTAGTCCACCCCCTGCTCAGTGCAGGATCAGCCTAGAGCATCCCTGACAAGTGCTTGTCCAGCCGCTGCTTCGAGACTACACGGGGATTGTTACTGTGATAAGTGCGCCAAACTAAATAATACAGTACTGCAAAAAATCAGGAAATATATGCTGTTTAAATAAAGTGATATGCTTTTTTTTAACAAGGTTGGAATACAAAAATACAGTCCGTTTCAAATAAACAGAAGTGGTTTTTAACGGAGCAGATGATGTCGAGTTTTAAATAAGCCAATGATGTTAACGACGTGCTACGGAACGTCCTGTGTCGTTTCGACGTTCCTTCTTCTGAACAAGATATAGATAATTTTCAGTTTTTTGTCTCATCTATAAGAGTAGAAACAAAGCCTGATGCTCACATATTTTTTCTTCATAGGTCAATAACAAAGCACAGTTGCTAGCAGAAAATTCATTTCGGGCGAGTTACAGACTCGTCGTTAACATCATTTGCTTCGTTAAAAACCACTTCTGTTTATTTGAAACTGACTGTGTTTGGGTATTCCAACCGTGTAAAAATTGCATATCACTTTAATTTATTTATTTAGTTTAGCGCACTTATCACAGTAACAGTCCCTGTGTGGTGCAATATCCATAGACTGTGTATCATACTCTGGCTGCTTGCAGACTGCCAGGGAGGGGGAGCTCACCACCTCTCTAGGCAGCCGATTCCACTCTTGCACAACTCTGACTGTCAAAAAGTTCTCCCTAATATCCAGCCGGTACCTCCCCACCCTCAATGTAAACCCATTCTTGCAAGTCCTCTCCTCTGCTGCCCACAGGAATAGCTCCCTGCCCTCCTCCAAGTGACACAGCCCTTCAAGGACTTCGAGAGAGCCATTGTGAGATACCGGCATTAAAGTTGTGAGTGAGCGATTTGGCTGGTGCATCAATGAGTTTGCTCCGGAGCCATCCTTCCTGAGCTAAGGCAAAAACGTGTGAGCCGGAGGCTAGAAAACTGTGAGCTAGCTCACACTAACTCAGCTCAGAGGGAACAGTGCTGACCAGCTCTTCCTGTTCTCTCGGCAAGTTCTGTTTTGTGTTTTTTCCTTTAAGATTCTAGCCCTCGTGTTTGTGTAAGAACACTGGAACGCACGAAGGCAGTGTGTTTGAAAGGCAGGGGGAGCGATGAGCAAGTCGTCCGCGAGCGACGTCGAGCCTCGCTTTCACTGAACCGCAAAGGGGTACCTGCTTCGTTGGCCGCTTCTTTGCATTGCTTCACTTTGGTCTGGCTCTGGAATAGAAAGAGAGAACGAGGGCATGATCCTGTGGCGGAGAGGGTTGTGCCCGCGTGCGCACGCGTGCTCGTTTGGGTAAGCACAAGCTGCCTTCCCTTAGATCAGCTGGAAATTCAGAAGAGCTCCGGGTCACATGAACACATGAAGCTGCCTTATAGCAGCTCTCCAGGGTCTCAGGCTGAGGTCTTTCACGCCACCTCCTGCCTGGTCCTTTTCAACTGGAGATGCCGGGGACTGAACCTGGGACCTTCTACATGCCAAGCAGAGGCTCTCCCACTGAGCCATGGACCCTCTTTACAGCTCTCCAGGGTCTCAGGCGGAGGTCTTTCCCATGACCTCCTGCCTGGTCCTTTTAACTGGAGATATGGGGACCGAACCTGGGACCTTCTACATGCCAAGCAGAGGCTCTCTTACTGAGCCACGGCCCCTTTTTACAGCTCTCCAGGGTCTCAGGCGGAGGTCTTTCCCATGACCTCCTGCCTGGTCCTTTTAACTGGTGATATGGGGACCAGGCGGAGATCTTTCCCATGACCTCCTGCCAAGTCCTTTTAACTGGAGATGCTGGGGACTGAACCTGGGAACTTCTGCATGCCAAGCAGAGGCTCTACCACTGAGCCACAGCCCCTCTTTACAGCTCTCCAGGGTCTCAGGCGGAGGTCTTTCCCATGACCTCCTGCCTGGTCCTTTTAAATGGAGGTGCCGGGGACTAAACCTGGGAACTTCTGCATGCCAAGCAGAGGCTCTACCACTGAGCCACAGCCCCTCCTGGAGGTTGGCCACCCTAAGGCTTCTTCTGACAACCAAAAAAAAACACCATCCCTGCCCACAGAAATCTAGCATGTCAGGGGGAAAGTGTCTAGCCTGATATGCTAGTTTTCTGTAGGAATCCTGTTCTCGAGAGCCCCTTCCTGCAGACTGAAGTGGTACAGCTCAGACACACCATCTCAATAGGATTGCCCACTTTGGGTTGGGAAACACTTGGAGATTTTGGGGGTGGAGCCTGAGGAGGGCGGGGTTTGGGAAGAGGAGGGGCGGGGCTTCAATGGGGTCTAAGGCCACCTTCCAAAGCCGCCATTTTCTCCAGGGGACCTGATCTCTTTTGCCAGCTGGAATCCCAGGAGATCTCCAGGCCTGACCTGGAGGCTGGCAACGCTACGCCTCAGGGAGAACTCAGTTCTTGCCCTGAGTAGGGCAGTCCCACCTGTTGCAGCCTGTTAAATCCCTCCTGCGAGACCAAGGACTTACCTTCTCCGCTTGCTTCTGGTTGCCCACGGCGCTGATCCGTTCGAAGGCCAGCTCGGCCTCGTCCGCCTCTCTGCACCTCTGCTCGTACGCCTTCTTGGACTGGAACCGGAGGGAGACAAGTGCGGGCCATGAGAGCGTAGTAATGCTGCCAGCTCCAGGTTGGGAGACGGGAGATTTGGGGGAGGGCGGGGCTTGGGGAGGGGAGGGGCCTCAGCAGGGTACAATGCCGTAGAGTTCAGCCTCCAAACCAGCCATTTTCTCCAGGGGAACTGGAGACTGGACTGTGGGGATCTGTTATGATTCCGAGAGATCTCCAGGTCCCAGCTGGAGGCTGACAACCCTAGGGAGCAAAGGACCTCTGGTTTGTGACCACATGACATCACAGTCTAGCTCGCCACCTAGTGGTGGATAACACTAAAAGAGCTAGAACTTCTGGCTGCCGGACAATCTTAGGATCCCCTGGCTACTCTACACTCAATGCCATACGATTACTACTACTACAGCGTTGTTTCCCCGAAAATAAGACACTGTCTTATATTTATTTTTTCTCAAGAAGACACACTAGGGCTTATACCACAAATGCATAGAAATCCTGCTAGGGTTTATTTTTTGGGTAGGTCTTATTTTCGGGGAAACAGGGTAGTAGTAGTAGTAGTGGTAGTATAGTAGTATAGTAGTAGTAGTAGTGGTGGTGGTGGTGGTGGTGGTGGTGGTGATAATAGTAGTCATAGTAAATTAATTCAAACTTTATTAATAAGACCTTACAAACAATATTTAAATGAAGAACTCTGTGCCACAGGGGTTAAAAATATACATAGTAAATTGCTGTGTAGTTAAAGTACCTAACAATTAATCTCTTCAGTAAAACCCGGAACAAGTAACAAAGACTGATGCTGAAAAGAGTGAGGGGGGGGGAAACAAGAAGGCAATCCAAGTGTTAGATAATTAACACAATAAAACATCTAGAGGAGACTTATGACCAAACAACTCAGAGTTGTGGTACTATTACTATTATTATTATTACATTTGTTTTGTTATCGGGGAGACTCGCGGGGGGTGGATGTGGGCCAACGTAGCCCAGTGTCCCGTGTGGCATTTACTAAAACGAGTCATTGTTGCGTAGCGGTAAGAACTTTGGATTAGAACTTGGAAGACTCGATTCCGATCCCCAACCCAACCACGCGTGTCCTCTGGAAGACCTTGAGCCAGTCTCCAACTCCTGGCCTAACCTACCTCACAGGGTTATTGTAAAGAGTGGAGAACCCACATCCACAAAGCTTCCAGGACATAAGAATGAGATAAATGCTTGGCCTTGACATTCGTCAGTATTGTTATCACCCCAGTGACAGGGTAATAATGTAATCTTACAAGGAGCTGTGGTGGCTCAAGTGGTTAAGATGCTGAACTGCAGGCTGTGGAAGGTCAGTAGTTCAGCAGTTCGAGACCCGAGTGTGCTGCATGATGGAGTGAGCTCCCGTCTCAAGTTCCAGCTCCTGCCAACCTAGCCGTTCGAAAGCAAGAAATTGCAAGTAGATAAATAGGGACCACTTCGGTGGGAAGGAAACAGTGTTCCGTGCGCCTTGGTGTTTAGTCATGCCGGCCACATGACCACGGAAACGTCTTCGGGCAGCGCTGGCTCTTCGGCTTGGAAACGGAGATGAGCACCGCAACCCTTGAGTCGGACTCGGCTGGCTTTCGAGCAAGGGAACCTTTACCTTTACCTTTTACACGGAGTTAAGCCCTTCCAGGTCTACTGAAGTCAATGAACTTAGAAAGACCTAACTCTGCTTAGGATCACACTATATCAGAGGTGGCCAAACTTGCTTAACGTAAGAGCCACATAGAATAAATGTCTGAAGTCTGAGAGCCGCAAGACGTGAAGAAATATCACATGTTTTTATTGGGAAATCTGCAAATTTGCTTTTCATTGACATTAAACGAGACTGCCAAAAAGAATAACAAAAGCGGTAAAAGCGGGTATTGATCATGATCATTTATTTGTCCAATGATATTTGTTTGCTAATGATATTTCGCTTCCCCAGCCGTCCTGCCGGGAGCCGCACAAGACGTGTGAAAGAACCACCTCTGCACTATACAAACCCAAAACAATCTGTGTTTCAAAGGCAGTCTTAATTTTAGCTAGATTTCTTTAACCCTTCCAAGGAGCTCAAGACGGTATTTGTGGTTCTTCCTCCCTGCATTATCGTCTCACCTCAGACCTGCGAAGTCAATTCGACGGAGAGGCGGACAGGCCCAGGGCTACCCAGGAAATCTCACGGCCAACTGGGGGTTTCAGACCAGGTATTCCCACTGCCCTCTTGGCTCTCTAACCGCCTCACTGACGCTCAGGTATCCTCTCTCAAACCTGTTCACTTACCTCCATGGTTTTCTTGTACAGCGAAATCTTGTTTTTGTGGCTTCTCTCCATGGTACTTTCGTACTGCAGGGGAGACACAAGGTTTGCATCATTTTGTTGGCCCTTCTAGAAGGGAAACTGGAAGAGCCGTTTTTCAAGCGTTTTTCCGAACGCAACACGCTACAAAAAAAGCCCTGGATAAATCCATACCGAGAGACATCTCACAAGCACGGTGTAGGTCAATACAATCTATATTAGGAGACCTCTAATGGGCAATGTAGGGCTGCGGTGGCTCAAGTGGTTAAGACGCTGAACTGCAGGCTGGAAGGTCGGTAGTTTGGCAGTTCGAGACCCGAGTGCTGCGTGACGGAGTGAGCTCCCGTCTCTGGCCTCAGCTCCTGCCAACCTAGCAGTTCGAAAGCAAGAAATTGCAAGTAGATAAATAGGTATCGCTTTAGTGAGAAGGTAATAGCAGTCCGTGCACCTCGGCGTTTAGTCATGCCGGCCACATGACCACAGAAACGTCTTCGGACAGCGCTGGCTCTCCGGCTTGGAAATGGAGATGAGCACCGCATCCCTAGAGTCGGATTCGACCGGCTTTCAAGCAAGGGAAACCTTTACCTTTACTAATGGGCAATGTACAAGATGTCGGTTGGCACCGCCATGGGACGTCTCTGTGCTGGAATGTGTGAGCTGTGTGGTACAAAACGAGGATTATTGAAATATGAGTGAGCACAGCATATTAGGCATGATACTTTTGTTATTTCCTATCCCATCAACCACAGGTTGGTAGGATTTGGGGGGAAAGAAGAAGAGGAGGAGGAGGAGGAGGAGGAGGAGGAGGAGGCGGAGGAGGATTTATTATACCCCACCCTTCAGTCAGTGTCTCAGAGTGGCTTACAATCTCCTTCCCTTCCTCTCCCCACAACAGACGGGTTGACTTCAAGGGCAGACCCATGTAGAGTGCATTACAGTAGTCTAACCTTGATGTTACCGTGGCCTGGTAAATGATCCCTCCTGCCTCAATAAGACTAAATCAGCGAGGAAACAAATAATAATTATTATTATTATTTATTCGATTTATGAATCACCCTATCCCAAGTAATTCAATTTAAGTCATTTTTCTGGGACCTGTGGATTGCTTGGAATACAGTTCAGGATCACAGTTCTTCCACCGGTGTTACGCTCTATGCGAATACGGCATCTAAATATATCTGTACTGGGTTTACACTTCCAGAGAAATGCCCTGTGTGTGGGTTTAGCTTCAAGCATGCATCTGTTTCACGGTTTCACAGTGACTAAATACGTCTCATATCCCTTCTGCGAAATTACCAGTTTGCTACAGTGGGGGAAGAGACCAGGACTGTCATCTTAATCAGTCTGAAAACGCCTCTTCCTCGCTTAATATTTGGCAAGATGCAAATGTTTCTGTATTTGGAGGAGGCCCAAAAAAATGTCTTTCGGAGGCAGAACTCTTTGGAGGGTTTCTCTGTAGGGTGTCTCACCCTAATGAAGTAATTACTAATGTCAAGGGGAGTTAGGAACAGGGGTTGCTTTTGCTTAATCGAGAGACAGCAATCCCCCCCCCCTTCCTGGGAAACCCAGCTTTGAAAGCTGATGGTGCAGTGACTCGCGAGTAGGCCCACTTCCTGGCTGTGATCCTGTCCGGGTATGGTGCTGACCAAGGCTCCCTCTGAGCTGTGGAGTCTTGTGAGCAAAAATCCTACTTTGTGAGCTCCTGGCATTAAAGTTGTGAGCGAGCGATTTGGCTGCTGCATAAATTAGTTTGCTCTGGAGCCCTCCTTCCTGAGCTGAGATGAAAATGTGTGAGCTGGAGGTTAAAAAACTGTGAGCTAGCTCACACTACCTCAGCTTAGCGGGAACACTGGCTGCTGACCTCCAGGTGGGACCTGGTTGGAGAAAGGGTGATTTCGAGACAACAAACATCAGGGAGGGGAAAGGGTTAAGCAGACCACATGCATGAATCTGCCTGAGACTGAGTCAGACCATCGGTCCCATCAAGAGAGCCAGCTTGGTGTAGTGGTTAAGAGCGCCGGGCTCTAATCTGGAGAACCAGGGTTCAATTCCCCACTTCCTCACTTGAAGCTAGCTGGGCGACCTCAGGCAAGTCACAGCAACTCTCAGGCTAAACATACACATAGCTCGCCACCTAGTGGTGCCAAGGAAGAGCTATAGCTTCGGCAGCCAAACAATCCCTTCCGGGATCTCCCGGCTATTCCACACACAATGTCATACGATCAGGGCTATTTTGGGGCAGGAACGCACAGGAACGGAGTTCCGTCTGGCTCCTGAGTTGGCCACGTCCAGCAGCAACTCATTAGCATAACAGGCCACAACCAACAGCAGAAACTCATTGGGATTGGCTACATCAGGGGTGTGTGGCCTAACATGCAAAGGGGTTCCTGCTACAAAAAAAGCCCTGGGTTTTGACAACAAAGGTAAACAATAAGAAGTGAAAGGTGGGTGTGGCTGAATGACCACACTTCTGGTAATACGGGGGTGTGGCCTAATATGCCAATGAGCTGTGCTGTCATGGGTGTGGCCTATTATGCTAATGAGTTCCTGCTGGGCTTTTTCTACAAAAAGAGCCCTGCATACGATAATTAATTAATTAATTAATTACCTCCAACTGGCAGTTGCTCTCCAGGGTCTCAGGCAGAGGTCTTTTCACCTCACCTCCTACCTGCTCCTTTCAACTGGAGATGGCGGGGATTGAACCTGGGACCTTCTCCGCCCAAAGCAGATGCTCCACCCCAGAGCCACGTCCCACAGTGTAGGCCGTTCTGCAATGCCAGCGTGATCGTTCATGCCGCGCCTCACCTTTTTCCGTTGCTCCTTCTGCCTCTCTCTGAACTCTTCCAGGCCTTTCAGCTCGTCTCTCAGCGTCGCAGCCAGCTGGATGTGAGAGTTTCCAACACTTTCAATTTCTGGGGAAGATCAAAGAATCTGTTGAGCAAACCTTTTGTGTGGGAACCGAGCAGGGACATGTCAGCCAGCGACAATCGTTTCTGTTGCCGTTGAAATTTCGCTCTCGGCAAGACAGAAGGCATTGCCGCGCAGCATCTATTCAGCGGGGAAGAAAAGCATTTGCATTCGCCTAGAAGTGCTCCTTTTTTAATGAAAAGATGCGACACAGCAATTATGCGGGGCGGATGGCTCTATAAAGGTAGTTGGAAGCTCAGACAGTTCCACTGAAAGCGTCTGCATCAGAGGTCATTTCGGGGGGGTTCGCGGGGGATCGCAGTTCCCCCGGGTGACGTACGGGGGGCGGGGCACATGATGAAGCCCCACCCCCTGCTTCCGGCCGCCCCGCTTCCGGCCCTCATTCAGCCAGGAGGGCGGCCCTGCCCTGAGGCCCTCCTCCGTGCCTAGCGCAGTAATTGGAGAAGAGAGGAATACTTCCTCTAATCCACCATGTCCCATTTACAGGCCAATCATACCTCACACTGATAGCAAGAGTGTAGGACAGGAGTCCCCAAACTTGTTGAGCCTACGATCACTTTTGTCATGGGGGGCGGAGCTAGGAATAAAATGGCTGCCACGGGAGGTGGAGCCAGGAGTAAAATGACTTCCATGGGAGGCGGACCCAGCAATAAAATGGCTGCCATGGAGACGGAGCCAGCAATAAAATGGCTGCCATGGGAGGTGGAGCAAGCAATAAAATGGCTGTCATAGGAGGCAGAGCCATCTATAAAATGGCTGCCATGGGAGGCGGAGCCAGCAATAAAATGGCTGCCACGGGAGGCAGAGCCAGCAACAAAATGGCTGCCACGGGAGGTGGACCCAACAATAAAATGGCTGCCATGGGAGGTGGAGCCAGCAACAAAATGGCTGCCACGGGAGGTGGACCCAACAATAAAATGGCTGCCATGGGAGGTGGAGCCAGCAACAAAATGGCTGCCACGGGAGGTGGACCCAACAATAAAATGGCTGCCATGGGAGGTGGAGCCAGCAACAAAATGGCTGCCACGGGAGGTGGACCCAACAATAAAATGGCTGCCATGGGAGGTGGAGCCAGCAACAAAATGGCTGCCACAGGAGGTGGACCCAACAATAAAATGGCTGCCATGGGAGGTGGAGCCAGCAATAAAATGACTGCCACAGCTTACCTTCAATGAATTCTGAGGATCTTGGATTCCAAATGGATCATCTGGCATTTCATGTCCATGATGAGCCACAGCATCCCGCCTCCCCAGTTCCCTCTTCTTCCCTCCCCCACTACCTGATATGACCCTTCCCCACCATTGGTGGATACAGAGACACCCCTGTCTGCTCAACTGACCTTTCTGAATGGGGATTCCTGTTGATCTACTGACAGTGTGGGTCACAATATCAGAGTGATTGAAATTATCTAAAAATTATCCACGTAGGGACAACAGCTTCCATTTGCATTAAAACGAAAGACCTTGAATTACAATGGAAGGAAATGCACAAATTTTGCTTGATTTTATTTACTTTGTTCTTATACGCTACCTTTCTCCCCAAAGGGGACCCAAAGCAACTTAACATTCTCTTCTCTTCTTCCAGTTTATGTGAGGTAGGTTAGGCTCAGAGTGTGTGACTGGCCCAAGGACACACGGGAAAATTGTACGGCAGAGTCAGGATTTGAACACAGGGCTCCCAGATCCTTGTCCGACACTCTAATGACCACAGCACTCTAATAATAATAAGTATCACATGGCAGTGTGTGTAATAGCCAGGAGATCCTAAGACTGCCTGGCAGCCAGATGTTCTAGCTCTTTTAGCGTTACACACCACTAGGTGGCGAGCTAGACTTTTTTTTGAGGCAAGAGACGTTTAAGAGGTGGCTTGCCATCCCCTGCCTCTGCAGCATGACACTGGTATTCCTTTGAGGTCTCCCTTCCAAATACTAGCCTGGGTTGACCTCGCTTAGTTTCCGAGATCTGACTGGATCGGGCTAGCTACTCCACACCACAGGTCACGGCTACCCCACCCTGGCACCCTACTGACCAGTTAGCTTTATGCTCAAAGCAAAGTTTAGACAGAAGTACTCAACGAGGAGTTCATGAAAATACTTACGTTGCTTTAGGATCTCAAAGGAGGCCTTCAGAGTGCTGAAAAGGGGAAGGAAGCAGAGCCGATGATTAGCGAGTCGAATACGGTCACAAAACCGACGGCGCAGGTTTCGATCTACCTCAATCTTAATCCCACCTTCCCGCAACTAGCTCGTGGCACTGGGTATAGTCCTCCTCTGCTCTGTCCTCACAACAGCCCTGTGAGGTAGACTAACCTGAGGAACTATGACCCAGCCCACGGCCAGCCAGTCGGCTTCATGGCAGATAGTGGACGCGAACCCACATCTTCCCCCTCCCAATTTGACACTCCAACCACGACCCCTACATAGCATGTTCTCACTATTAGGATCACTATGGCACAGGAAACACCATGCCACAGACCTAAATTTCCAAAACCGCAATGGTTGCAACCTGTATTTTTAACACACCCACGCTGGGAATTTTTGACATCTCTGTGTTTCGTTTTTTCTGATATAGACATTTCTAAGTGAGGGACCAAGAGACTCCGGGGAGGGGGGGTTCTCATTGTCCCCCAACGTATTTTTTTAAAATTTTAAGATTTTCTGGTGCCCACCCCCCAAGTTTGCAGAACTGTCTGTTTACAGTCAGCGTGGCTCCGATCCATAGATTTTGATATTCGCAGGTTGGGCCATGCCTGACTATTAGAATATCAGCTGGACATTCTAAAGAGAAAGAGAGGGTCCGGAGGTGGAGAATGCGAGAGAAATCACTCACTGATGTATGTGATGATCCAGGTCCCGAGAATATCCGCTGGCTTGCCCTTTCCGCTTTCTGCCGGCCTACCCTTGAGACTGACCCGGAAAACCCAGCTGATACAGAATGCGGCGGCGTGAGTCCTGACGGGAACGTCACGGACGGCACATATACAACCAGTGCTATGCCAGCCACACTGGCTTTCCAGTGGAGTACCGAGTAGTGTTCCCTCTAAGCTGAGTTAGTGTGAGCTAGCTCACAGTTTTTTAGCCTCCGGCTCACACATTTTTGTCTCGGCTCAGGAAGGAGGGCTCCAGTGCAAACTAAATTACGCGGTAGCCAAATCGCAGGCTCACTTTAATGCCAGTCGCTCACAAAGTAGAATCTTTGCTCACAAGACTCCACAGCTTGGAGGGAGCAGGGGCATAGTCCCCCCAAAAAAAACAGTCCAGTGGCACCATTAAGACCAAGTTTTATTCAGGTACAAGCTCTCCCTCCTCTGTGAGGACAGATCTGCGGATTCCCCCCCTCCCCATAGCTAGCAATCCAAAACAGTCCAGTGGCACCTTTAAGACCAAGTTTTATTCAGGTACAAGCTCTCCCTCCTCTGCGAGGATGGACCTGCACGTCCCCCCCCCCTCAAAAGCTGGCAATCCAAAATAGTCCAGTGGAGCCTGAGCGGTGGGTGTTGCCTTCGGACACACTTCCGGTGATGTCAGGGGGTGTGACATATGCAAATGAGTTATGCAAATGAGTTATGCTAATGAGCTCCTGCACCTCTTTTTCTACGAAATGACCCCATAATAATATCCAGCTTCCTGGTAAGACAAATCTCTTACCTATACCCTACAAACTGAAGGCTACTTTGACCAGTTGCCTAACCTGACTAGCATTATTTGATCTATTCATATCTGACTGTGGCATCTACGCAGGATGTGGAAAAGAGATTTTAAGATCCACCCGTGAAACACACGCCGAAATACGTTTTACAAAAAAATTTGGCCTGACGAAAAGTTCTGGAGAACCCGAAAGCTTTGCAAGCTGTGTCGTGATATGCAGGTCGGTCCTCATCAAAAGTGCTCATTTGTGTTTTTCTTTAATGGATTTTGCTTTTCAGGATCATGGCCGTCTGCAGGCGCCGACTGCTATTGTTCAGAACAATTAAAATGCTTGGCGAAGCAACGGAGAAAAGGTTTCTCTGTCTGAGAGAGACGGGCTCCTATTTATCATCCCAATCCCATTTTATTTAACAATAGCGCCCAACGGCCTTCATCTTCGGCGCCGAGGTTTCCTCTGCGCTGAGTAACTTTCCGATGGTATCAGCACGTTGGCATATTACAAAAGCGAGCATCCTAATTGATAGTTAGAATAGACTTCCCCCCTCCCCATTGTTAGAATAGCCTCCCCCCACCCTCCTGAAAAGACACGTTATCCATTATGATGTTTCACTAGCGCCCCCTTGTGGCACTTTTTCAACCTTGTGGGGCTTTCCAATTCGGTGCATTTACATCTGGATTCGAGTGCCCTTTCAGCGCAGGGCACAGAAATGCATTGTGTGGCCCTCTTTCAAGGAGGGTATGAAGAGCTGAGCTGAATGGGGGGGGGATGCGTTCTGCAAACATTCTTGCGCCCCTCAAAATGGCACTCACCCCATTTTGGCAATTGGAGGGGAAATGCAAAAAAAAAGTATTATTTTTTTTGGGTATGTTAAAGAGAGACTGCTTCATCCTCTTACGAAGGCGACCAGATTTAGGTGGGGTGTCCATGTTTGCCTGAAGCAGCGGAACAAAGTTCGAGTCCAGCGGCACCTTTAAGACCAACAAAGTTTTATTCTGGGTGTAAGCTTTCATCTACAAAGCACACTTCTTCAGATACAGTGAAATGGAAGTTGCCAGTCCATACATATAGGTAGAGGGTGAGCAGCAAATTAGCATACAGTATGCCAACCTAGCAGTTCGAAAGCAAGAGATTGCAAGCAGATAGGTACCACTTCGTTGGGAAGGTAACAGCGTTCCGTGCGCCTCGGCGTCTAGTCATGCCGGCCACATGACCACGGAAATGTCTTCAGACAGTGCTGGCTCTTCGGCTTGGAAACGGAGATGAGCACCGCATCCCTAGAGTCGGATTCAACTGGCTTTCGAGCAAGGGAAACCTTTACTTTTACCTTTACAACTAAAGGTGTTTGACAGATGCAAGGACCAAACTGGAATAAAAGCTTGGTTTATACAGTCACCATTTGTTTGGGTTTCATTCCAGGGGGAAACGTAATGAAGGAAATAAATATCCCCCCCCCCGGAATGAAACCCAAACAGATGGTGACCATATAAACTAAGCTTGTTACTAACACCATTGGCTGGGACAGGCCCGATGGGAGCGCTTGACGTCTTCCTCCAGTCCAAGCCTGTTTCTCCTTCTCTCAATTTCTGCCCACTTCTCATTGCTGGTGTTTGAACGAGAGCCCCTTTCTCGGTGCCTTGATTTCTCGTGGCTGGCATCCAACTACCGAGAGCAAGGTTTTGTTCGTATCGGGGGGGGGGCGCGTGCACGCAAATGATCCCGGCTCTTTTGATGCCCCCCAATCTCCGGAACGCGAGACCAAAAAACATTGAGAGCTCAAACCAGTTTTTTACATTACAATACGTGTTATTCTAATCTTCGCTATATTGCACAGTTACCGTACTTATGCATCTTGACTTTGACCAGCTCTTCCTGGCAACTGACCCCACCACCACCTGCATGTAACATTTGAGGAAATCCACTTCAATCAATGCTCCCCTCCAGGGGTCGCTTCGTAGAAAAAAAGGTGCAGGAGCTTATTAGCATAACTTATTAGCATAACTTATTTGCATATGCCACACCCCCTGACATCACCGGAAGTGTGTCAGAAGGCAACACCCACCACTCAGGCTCCACTGGACTGTTTTGGATTGCTAGCTGTTGGGGGGGGACATGCAGATCTCTCCTTGCAGAGGAGGGAGAGCTTGTGTCTGAATAAAACATGGTCTTAAAGGTGCCACTGGACTGTTTTGGACTGCTAGCTTGAGAGAACAGCTCTGAGAGAACTTGTGACTGACCCAAGGTCACACCAGTAACTGCAAATGGAGGAGTGGAGAATCTAACCCGGTTCCCCCAGATTGGAGTCTTAACCCCAACATCAAACTAGGCCATAAGAACATAACAGACGCCAATGTTGGATCAGGCCAAAGGCCCATCTAGTCCAACACTCTGTCACACAGTGGCCAAAAATACCAGGTGCCAGTGGGGCCAGGACCACTAGAAGCCCTCCCACTGTTGACCCCCCCAAGCACCAAGAAGACAGAGCATCACTTGCCCCAGAGCCCCTATCTATACCTTGTGGCTAATAGCCACTGATGGACCTCTGCTCCAGATGCCTATCTAATTCCCTTTTGAAGCCGTCCATGCTTGTAGCCGCCACCACTTCCTGTGGCAGTGAATTCCATGTGTTAATCACTCTTTGGGTGAAGAAGGACTTCCTTTTATCCGTTCTAACCCGACCGCTCAGCAATGTCATGGAGTGCCCACGAGTTCTTGTACTGTGAGAAAGGGAGAAAAGTACCTCTTTCTCTACCTGCTCTATCCCATGCATAATCTTGTAAACCTCAATCATGTCACCCCTCAGTCGTCTTTTTTCCAAGCTAAAGAGCCCCAAGCGCTTTGACCTTTCCTCATAGGGAAAGTGTTCCAACCCTCATAGGGAAAGTGTTCCAATCATTCGAGTTGCCCTAGGCCAGAGTCCTAGGACCTGGGTTCAAATCCCTACTTGGTCATAAAGCTCATAGGACAGCCTAAGACCAGTTACTGTCTGGTCCAGTGATGCCCCGTCTTCTTAGTGCTTGGGAGGCCACAGTGGGAGGGCTTCTAGAGTTCTGGCCCCGCTGGTGGGCCTCCTGATGGCACCTGGGTTTGGGCCACTGTGTGACACCGAGTGCTGGATGGGACAGGCCACTGGCCTGATCCAACGTGGCTTCTCTGATGTTCTTAATTTTCCCTTGCTTCCTTCTCCCAATTCCCAAATTTGTGTTATGGTGGGAGAAAAACAGGGCTAGGAGCTTGAAACCTTTAGGGTTGGATCCTCCTGGTGTGCCCTTGGGTCAGTCACAGGTTCACTCAGAGCTGTTCTCTCAAGGGCAGTCCTCGAAAGAGCTCTCTCAGCCCCACCTACCTCAAAGGGTGTCTCTTGAGGGGAGGGAAAGGGAAAGGAGATTGTAAGCAGCTCTGAGACTCCGAGTGAAGGGCAGGGGCGTAAATCCAATCTCCTCTTCTCCTCTTCTTCTTCATCTAACCCCTGATTTGACCCCACAGCA